GGGGGGGGGTTAAAGTTTGAAGATTAATGATGTGGCCTCAACTAAGATAACACGATACAACTGAAAGAATAATAAACTAAAAAGATTTGTAGAATTACGAATAGGACCTGTTAGAAGGATTAAAATGAAAGGATTTGAAACAAATATTTAGAAGAGTTTTCATTTTTGGAAGGTTTGGATGGATTAGAAAGTTTAAGGATCAAAGTTTGAAAGATTTGGAATAAAAGCGAGGATTAAAACAATTAGGATTGACCTAAAAGGATTAAGAAATAGGATTGAAATAAAGAATTTTAAGGATTTTTTTTTTACTTTTTTGATTTGATGGATAAAAATGATTGGAAGAAATGTAAGAATTGAATTGATTTAATGGATTGTATAAAGAGGGGAGGGAGGGTGAGATTAAAAAGCAGTCTAAAGAATGCGATCCTAAATAGTCGCCCACTCATCTCTCTTTTAGTCTATCCTGTGTCTGCCTGTCTATCTATCTATCTGGCTGTCTCTCTGTATATCTGTCTCTCTGTAGGTCTGTCTGTCAATCATTCTGACTTTTNTGAGTAAATCCATTTTTAATATATTGTAGAAATCAAGTGTATTTTCTGGTCTAAAAACAAATGTAATTTAGTTGCAAGACTTGATTAAGCTAATTCTGTTTTTTTGCGATATTTTTTAAACTGTTAATGCATGGCAGCCGGTAGGGTCTTCAAGTTTTGTGAGTTGTCCAGGTATGACTGTTTAAGTATTGCCTATAAAAGGGTTTTGAAGTGGAATCCTTTAGAAATCACATCACAAAGACTTTTTCAGGCCGTATCGAGTCAATCAGTTTGGACTTTGATTTTTTTACTACAATATGTCTTTTAACTGTTTATGAAAACTTACAAAATTTGGGGACCCTGTCATTTATTTCATTCATTTATTTATTTCTTTCTTTTTATGTAAATTCCATAAATTTATTAAAATAACAGATCGAACCATTAAGATGTCGTTTTTTCAAGATTTATAAGTATTTCGTTCACAATAACCCTGAGGCAGAAGCCCAAAGGAGTTACGCGCTGTCGGCAAAGACATTGTTGGATTTTTATTTTTTTCAAATTTTTGTAAAGATTTCTATTTTTATAACTAGGATTTTTTATTCCTCTAATAATTCTATCCACAAATGAATTCTTTGCATTATTGATTTCCTATTTTATTTCATGAAAGTAGAATTTAGATGATACTTTCTAAGATTTATCTCCTTAGTTTAATTATTTTTTTAAATCAATCTTACTTCTTGAAATTTCAGGACTCGAGTGTTTGAGCAGAAGTTTAGTATGCCTTCAGGTATCTATATATGTATCTATCTATCTNTTCAGCCGTTTTGCCGGCCAGAGGGAACATTTATACAAATGTCTTGTTTAAGTATAGAGATAATTATAATAATAATAATAATAATAATTGACCTCCCCCTGACCTCCTGTATATTTAGGTATTGACCCCCTCTAGCTGGGAAGATGAACGAGGACGGGATTCTCCCTTCTCCTCCTCTCTCTCCTCAATGCCTAGTCGACACGGCAGCATATTTGACCCTAGACCCAGTATTCTCGACGACAGCGGCTTCTTCGACCGAAAGCGGAGCTTGTTCGACAATGAGACCTCGTTGATGGCCTCGAACTCAGAAACGAGCGGGGTGTCGAGGGTGGAGTACGACGCGAACAATTACAAGATTCATGTCAACGTGGAGAATTTTAAACCTGAAGAGTTGATTGTTAAAACCATCGAGAACACTATTCAGGTTTGTACTTTGTACCCTTGTATTCAGGTTTGTACTTTGTACCCTTGTATTCAGGTTTGTACTTTGTACCCTTGTATTCAGGTTTGTACTTTGTACCCTTGTATTCAGGTTTGTACTTTGTGCCCTTGTATTCAGGTTTGTACTTTGTACCCTTGTATTCAGGTTTGTACTTTGTACAGGCAGTAAATCAGGCATTGTCTTCTTTGCAAGGAGACTTACTTGAAATAGCGCATACAGTCTCTTTAAGCTTTTCAAAACTTACAGCGCAAAAATAGGGAAGAATAGCGATTTTTGGGATTTGAATTTTTCAATAAATTCCATACTTTTTTTTGCAAGAATCTAATCTAATAATTTGAAAAATAAAAGTCCTTATCTTTGCAGAGAATTTGTAAGATTTGATTAAATTCCTGGAAACTAAAAGGCGTGAGAAACTAATTGAATAATTAATTATAAATATGTTGAATTTGTTTATATTTCTCCAGATGACATTTATTCAAGGAATGTGTACCAGGAACTAGGCTTCCAATGCAAGGGGATTTAAATGCGTGCAATTGCGTGCTCTGTAAACTCCGCACAATTCCGTACAATTCCGCGCAATTTATGAACAGTTGCACGCAATTCCGCGCAATGGAATTCCGATTGGAAACCCTACCAACAAATTCCATATCTTTGTTTACATTAAAAGTGTAAACAAACTAATTTGTTTATATTTCTGCATTGCACTTATTTTGTAAACAAAGAAAGTTACAAGGTTACCTACAAGGGTGAGACTGCATAGACGAGCTTAAACTCTTCTGCCGATTCTAATGTCGAATCAAGTTTTCATGGCCTTCTTGATTGGATAAATAAAAGAAACAAGTTTATAGTTGCAGGGAATAATGAATATAAGGAAACATACAGTAAAGATTCCGTACAGTCGGCTTTAAAGTCTCTGTGTTTGTGGGTTAGGTCCATCTGTTGGATCTGTTTAATGTCTGGATATATAAATATATATATACTTCACACTTCAGCAGTCCAGTGATGTAATCATGTAATTCATAGCTGTCATCTCCTTAGGCATTTTAAGGGAATTTATGTGGCATTTTAAAG